TTATAGCTATATTTGTCTGGGACATTATCACAAGATCTTGCGAACTGAAGATATGAACCATAACTACGCTTGTCTTTGCCGATGTTTTGATGCACGTACTGACATGGAACGTCCTATGTGATTTATGCAGCAGCAGTGAGTTGAAAAGGTAATGTTCCTCGTCCTTTATTCAAAGCAGAATTGACTCCTCTTGACTCCTTGCTCCCTTTCTTTTCCGGCAACAGGAGACCGGGGAAGAAATTGTCCAATCCAAAGAACGAAGCTACTTTGTGGATGGATAGTCATCTGAGGTGAAGGCGCCAATAGTGAGACTCTGCTGTCTACACAATCAGATCGGACCACAAATGGAGGATAGAGTGCGTAGAAAACATTATTGGAAGGTAGGGTGGGGTTAATCACAGCTATCATAGAGCTCAGAACGTGATGAACGATTCCGAGTCCAGGTTGGTTTCGGGTGGATTCCACCCGAATAATCGGTAACAGGGGACTAACTTCCTACAAGCTATGTTCAGCAAATGGGCTTGATGGGGTCTCCCCATCCTCTAGCTATCAATTTCGTGTGTGTTTGCACCGTAAATTCAGCGAATCCTACAACCAACCGAATATCAACGTTGCCTTCGCTGCGCCCTAAAGTCGAGAATATCAAGGTTGCGTTCCTCATGTAACTCTACTGTACGTTCATTCTGCATGTCATATCGAACAAAAGTCTTCAAAAGCTAGACCTTGTGGATCAATAGTAAAGAACACAATAAGGTCACCCCTATAATATATAGTAATTTACATAAGGTCACCCAATATCTATATCTATGTAGGTGTCCTATCCATATTCTGATCAATCAATGGATAGAGTACATTAAAGGAGACATTCTAAGTATAAATAAATAAATAAACAAACTCGGAAAGGGTTTCGTTTCCAGTACTTGTATCTAGACATAATGGAAAAGCGAAACTCTTTCTTATTCAGTGTATTCCTCGGCCAACTCAATCTCACTACCATTATATACTTCCCAGCTCCAGCTTGATGCTCAGATGCAACATCTCTCGATTTAAAATACCTTGATTCTACATTCTTCTCATTCATGGAAATGCCAAGAGCGGCCCCCACTCATCATATCTTGGCAGTGTTCTTGATGCATTTCAGAAGAGAACGTGGCCAAGGAACGTGCACAAGCGAGAGTATCCAAAGTTAAGACGTGATGATTTGGCAAAGTATACTTAAACAAAGAAATGCGAGGACTAGTGGTAGTGCTTAACATTTTTAAATTTTATTCTCTTTTGGTTGTGTGTTCAAGCCAAAACCGCGGCCCCACTGGACATCCCGATGCCATGATGAGGAGACAGGATGAAATGTTCACATTTTGTGGAATGCAAGAGGTTGTTCCCGGTTGATCCACGAGTCACAAAGCGTGCGTGAATCAAGCTTTATCCGCGCTTGGCAGCAGCTTTAGGCAAACTTTGACATCCTTGTTTACGATAATGATATAAAATTGCGCTCGTGGAATGTTCGAATACTTCATGAAATTTTGCCTGGCATCTTCGGTGGTTCAATGATTCACATGTACATGAGTTGTTTGTCCAGCCCGGGCAAATATCGAATCTAAATACAAAAGAATCCGTTAGAAGCATAACCACTGTCAACTGCCAGCGCTTGGTTCATTGATGCCTCGAGACATTCGGACGACTTTGGAAATGGAGACTCGGAAAGCAAAGCTTGACACTCTTTTGCGTGAGAGAGTTTGCCTATTTTTCGAAATCACAACAATAATATAACTCCAGCCCTTGACCTGTAGCAAACCAGAAGTCACACCAATAATTGATTGTCCTTCATTCAATCCCATGCAGTGAATAAATGGATAGAAAGATAAAAAAACCGAAAACTCAACTCTTAGCCTCATGATGGAGCAAAGGGGTCACTACGTTGCAAGCGAATGGCAGCCTCGGATTTCCTACAATCACCTTGAATCGTGGGATATGACTTTTGGGATATGACATTATCCATGTTGACTGAAAATTGGGAAACTTGAAAATGTCAGAATTGCCTCGATAGAACCGAAACAAGATGAAGCGGAGCCCATGTAGTCAAGGATCGAGATGGAAATCTAAATATACAAGATTTACGCTGAGTTTGAAAGGTTCAAAGTGTAGTATTGTAACATTTCCAAGACTTCAAATGTTGAGAAACTTGCCGTCAATAAGATGCGGGATGGAAGAATAATTTGCTTGACTCCGGGCAAATAAATTACGAGGTCCCCCATCTTTCTTCCACGATATAAATGTTGGCCTCGAAGACCTACCACCTCCTCATGTATTGTGCTCGTTCCAATGTTCAATCTCCAACAACATGGCTCAAGGGGCATTGTTTGAATTCGGAGTCTGTGCTGTCTTCTCCTAGCCGGGACTCTAACAGAAGTGCCACCATTTCTTGGACGCAACTACAGATCTACTAAAACCCCCGAGTCATCTGGGAGTAAATTTCGAAAACTGAAAGTTACCCACTACCTAAGACCGAGATCGGGAGAAAAGAGCTGAAGTTAGACACTTATGATACGCTCACAAGAGACACCGAGGTTGAGCATTTCAATGAAACGTATTCAAAGTAGCCCGTCTTGGACATGAATGTAAACAGTGTTGGAACCGATTATAAAACCAAAACTTTAATGCAGCTCAAACAAAGAGCTCGATCTTGCGAGAAAAAGGCATGGAATCCTTTCTTTCTTGTCGCCGTGATAGGCCGATGCACCACTTTGAACATTCAAGGATCCCAAGCCGACCTCTCTCGACTCTCGAGTATCTCACCTAGAGCACATCGAGCTCTCTGTACAGGAGGCCTCCCAATAACTTCTAATAAAGGGTTGCATATAGTTGCTGCTTCTGTTACTAAGCGTGAGAGCTCTGAAAATCTGCAACGAGGCCTCTTCCCTTCTCCGCAACATATCTCACCGGTCACACGCCACAAAGCTGTGGAATAGTGAACGATCTCCGGTTACGAGAAATATCTTTCTCATGGACGATCGTAAATGGCTCGATATACGAGCTCTTTATTGACGTATCTGAAAAACAGGGTTCTCATCTGCTCCATTTGTTTACTGCCATCTTCTCGACGATTCACTGGACCAGCCTTCTAGCGTTTTGCTGGTCCAGTATATTCTGTACATGTAAACGAGTGCGCCAATGATTTTCTTCTTGGAACTTGTTTTCCCCACATTTTCAGAGCCCATCGTGGAAGTTCACTCAAGCTCAAATCTACCTAGAAAGAACCTCTTTTGGAGCAATGTGATTGAATATATCTTCATGAGCTCCGAGTCGCAGCATGTATGTGAGTGAATCCATGTGTATTCCCCTTAATTATTGACACGAGAGAAGAAAAAGGAACTCGAGGGGGTTTCAAATATATCCCCTTTATCGTATTAGTCAATCTAGCATGCAATGATTACCAAACCTTCTCACAGCAGTTTATAGTTTTATCTTTCAAACTCGTTTACCGGCGCCTGATAATCTTTGATCTCGAAACATCTGCAGCTGTCCAGCACCTAATCCACTCCACTGTATGTTCCCTACCGTCCAAAAGTGACGCGATGTTCATATGATCGTCCTTCACCCCCGAGCAGCTTGCATACGTTGTTACGTACTGACGGGAGGAGTGAGTGCGGTAGACCTAGCGATTTGAAGGATAAATTGTACGCCGCACTCCAAAATACACCGCTTGTTGTTTCCGCACACAGCAAAACCCTGAAGTCCAAAGCACAAATTCAGACAATAATAATTGCGTGGACTCGGTAGCTTGGATATGAGCTTCGATTAAGATTTATGTGAGACACTGTGGAAATCTCTGGGTAATGGAGTTAAATGGACAGAATGGGCCGGGGACGGCTGTCATACGGCCCTCAGACCCACCGGAACGAATAGCAGAGGGGGAAGGAGAAATGAACCCATAAAGCGCATGCGGGGTTGACACGGACCTCAAGGTTTAGCAGAAGCCGGAATTACGGTCGTGCTTATTCTGTGCTTACGTAGGGACTAAGCCGAGGCCGAGCGGCCGAGGGCCCGGAAGGGAACTCCAAGGAAGGTGCCAGGAAACTCCGAAAGTTAAAGCGGATGACAAACGTCGTGTTCGTCTCACCCCATAGGTCCAAGTTTGCGTCTGTCCGCGAGAGCCTCAGCCGCAAGCACCGAACGCAGCCCATCGTCACATGTTTTCCTCGTTCCTATTGACTCGGGGTTTACTTGACTCAGAAGGCTTAGGCGATCTTGTGCTTGGCTCGAAGTTGTGTGTGCCTACAGTATGTCCGAGTGCCACCGCTGGAGCCCCGGACTTGGGACTGGGAACTCCTCAGGACGCGCCGGGCCCCGCCCCGCAGGTCGGTTTCCAGACTGCAGGACTGGATCTCGCTCCCGCGGCAAGGGAAAGGGTAAGCGCAAGGGGAGGGCGGGTTAAAGATAGGAGCGACGAGGGCCTGGCCATGGCGACGCGTGAGTCCGATCTCCGTTGGAACGTTCTGATACGTTCGACGGTCAACCGTCGGATGACTGAATCTCACGATGCATGCAGGGCCATGTCAGGGGGCAGCAGTGGGCACCAACGCGCGTTGCCGATGGGTTCCACTGGCGTCCAAGTTGGCTTGGCCAGGGGGCAGCGCGCGGACGGAGGATGCAGAATTTGGCGGCGGCGCGCTCCTTCCGTGCTTCCATCGGTCGGTCGGTCGGGCCCGGCGCTGGTTGGCTGCTCGGCCATGCCGTCGCGTCGTCAGCAGGGGGGGCACGCGGCCGCATGGCAAATTGGAGGTGGTGACAAGTTTAGGCGGGGCGACAGGGCTCGGGGTTGAGGGTTGTGGGCGGGACTTGGCGTGGGACCGCGTGGCGCGAAAGACGAAGCGTGTGCGCTGACCCGCTCAAGTCCTTCCTTCTTCTCCCCCCCCCCGGCCCTCCCCACTGCTCGCTTTTCGTTCCGGATTGGGGTCGGGACTAGGGAGGGGGCGAGTACGAGGGAAGGCCGGGCAGGGCAGGGCAGTACTAGAAGCGGACGAGGTCGGAGGTTTGTTTGTCTGCTGCGCTGGGCGTCGGATGATGCTGCCGCTGCTGTCCCGGACTGACTGACTCACTCCCAGACTTGACTGACCGGGACAAAGGATTGTTTTAACTGCACCGGATCCAGACGTACATGAGCAGGGGAGATCGATCGGAAAGTGCAGTTGCACAGAAGGCCGAGAGCAGTAGGCGCTCTCCTGCAGAGGGTCCGAGGATAGACCTCCATTAACTACAACTGACTCACTGCTTCACACAAGGCATCGAGACAGTGTGAAGTGAGTGTTGTGTGTGAGTGAGAGAGAGAGAGAGGCGAGGAGTGTTAGAGCGAGAGAGAGAGATAGAGATAGAGAGAGAGAGAGAGTGAGCGAGGGAAGTGGTAGTCACGCTGTCGTACAGCCAAAGGAAGAAAGAAAGCCAAAAGATAAGAGAAGCAGGACAAGCTGCAAAACCTCGCTGCGGCACAAGACCAAGAAGGAGAAGACGAAGAAGCAGGAGTATATCCCCAAGAGGTCCAGGTGACCAGATTAAAGGGGCGAACAGGCCATGAATCGGAGATTCACAGGAGGAAAGGACGGATTGTTTGACCGATTGCCCCGTACCTGTCGAGTGTCTATCCAGTCCGAGCGAGGTCAATCGATAGTGACCTCGTTTGATTGCTAGACTGAGCGGGCGAGCGAGCTAGTTAGTGAGGGAGCGAGTGATCGATCGATTGATTAGATTGGCGGAGGAAGGAGGTGGAGCGAGCGAGGTCCGTGTGCAATCACGCAGAAGATGAGCCACGGCCACCACGGGAGCAGCAACATGAGCAAGAGCACGAGCAACAGCGTGAACAGCAATAGCAGCAGCAGGCAAAATAAGAGGCCGACGCCGCTCAGGATGATGAAAGAGGAAGTGAGGCAGTACCGGCCTCCGGTGATCATCCACACGTTCTCGCCCAAGATTATCCACGTCGATGCGGCTAATTTCTCGACGAGGGTGCAGGAACTCACAGGGCGGGGTCTGAAGAGGAAGCCCGAGTGCTCGCCCAGGCCTCGCGAGTACCCGCCCGAGGACCAGTCCTGCGCCTCGCCGAGCTCCAGTGCGGATTCGGGCCTGCCGGGAGCCGAGAGTGGGGTCGAGAGCACGCACGGATTCGCCTCGCCGCGAGGGCCCCTAGTGTCATTCGATCCCGTGTACCACCACCAGCACCACGCCTTCGAGCCCTCGTGCGCCAGCGCGCACCAGAACGCAGCCAGCGCCAACGAGCAGGCCTCCAATCTGTTCGCCAATGCCGTGATCGCGGCGGCGGGGCCCCAGTACTCTCCATTGTTCGGGGCCGGCTCCGGACCTCACCTCTTCTCGCCGCTGCCGTCGCCCAACTTCCTCTCGTCCTCGTTCATGCAAGATCTGCCGCCGATTCTGTCGCCGGGCCCGTATGGGAGCCAGACCTTCGACCCCTACAACTCGCACTTCAATCCGTCTCCGACCTACGGGCGCTACGGCGCCAGCGCGGGGGGCATCTCGTCGTTACCATCGCCCGGAAGCAGCACTGCGTTCAAGGATATGGCGCTGATGATGTCCCGCGACTCGAAAGGATGAATTCGGCGATCGTCCTCCTCTTCGGGACCTGCGGGGACCCTGGACTCGAGCGAACTCGGGCGGACGGACGGCTGGCGCACAGCACGGATTCGGTAGGCGTCGGCATTTGCCGGGAATCCTCGTGCGCCCGCCGCGCTGAGCCCAACCCAGCCGCAGGAATCGAAGAGGAGAGACTTTTAAACCCAATCAGGCATGATTCGACTTGTTTGTATCGATATGTTTCGGCGAGTCCGAGATCTTCGCTCCCGAATCGGGTCTCGGATTCGGATTCGTGCTCGGGCTCGAAGCTCACTCGCTCGCTCGGAACACCACGAATCGTACAACGAGGAGAAATGTTCTCTTTTACGCTCAGATCAGGTAGACAGACACACAGGACCTTCTACTGCTGCTGCTGCTGCTGCTGCGAAGCGGATCAGACCTCGGAGCGTCAGTGGGATCGGAGTCACCGGAATCCGTCCAGAGATTGCTTCTGCATGCATCACCCACCATCCGCAGCAAGCAGGTGGCCTATTTTGAACTGAGTTTCTCGTTCTCGCCCTCGGGCATGGCATGATACACAAGAACTTCGCTGTCCTAGCGCCATGGCGCCCCTTCGACGACGACGACGACGACCACCAGTACACAACCCAACAACAACAACAACTTCAACCTCATCATCATCGACGACGACGACGACGACTGCGACGACCGCTGTAAGCGCTTAAAGACACATCTATAGAAGGATTTTTTTTGGGATTTCGAAGGAAGCAATGTATCGAGCTGAAAGAGGTGATTGTTCTCTCATGATTAGCTTTTCGTGGGCCAAGACTGCACGATGGAGCCTGGAGGAGCGCGCTCTCCAGCCGCAGAACAGACTTCTTGCGGATTACAGACTGACCCCTCCGTCAGCGAGCGCCAGCGACGACGACGGATGGATCATGGGGTTCGGCTGAAGTGCGTTCACAATACTACTACTACTACTACTACTCCTACCACCACCACCACCATCACCGCCACCACTGTAGATGTTCCTCGGGGAGTTTTAATTTCTTACTCTAAGGAAAGAATTATGTCTACTTTTACGTTTTAGTGTAGAGAGCGATTTTTCAGGACGATGATCCTCATGACCATAGTCACCAACCCTGGGTGAATCGATCGATCGATCGGTCGTGGGACGATTGATTCCTCCGGGTGATATTCAGTTGCAGACATGGCTTCTTCCTCGCCGCTATCCCATTCCGGGCTCATTGTGTACATACTTCTGCTCCTCCGGGATGTCATTCTTATTTTGCACCTTGGTGTACAAGGTCGTGAGGCACGACCACTGTGCTCTCTGTCTGTTTCCGCTTGTGCTATGATATACTACCAGACGCCATGGTGACAACCATGACCTCTCTTTTAAGGAAAACAAATGTCTCCCTGTCCCTCCATCAGACTCCAGGTTTTTCATTAATGCTTTTCTTCTTCTTGATGATTCTCCGCAATTCAATCCAATTCAGCTGTTCGTGATTCGTCCCTCGTATTTAGGCTGTAAGAATTCCGGAATTTCAACCGGGCCTTTTGGTTCTTCTCGATTTGTGGTATGGGGTCAATGTTCTCCCCAACCTGGCCTCGGGGTTGACCTCTAAACAGGTCGGGTCGACATACAGTAAATCGCGACGCGAGTACACTGGCGGTTATAGAATGATGGCATGTGGACTCATTGTTCCAAGATGGTGCGACTTGCGAGTTCCACGGCTCGAGGGTTTGAGCTTCAGCAGGAAGCTCTCTCTCTACTTCTCTCCACAATTAAGCGGCGGTCGAGAGGTCGTTCGTGGATCAGAGCATCTGTTGCGGGCAATTGATGTCTGACCCATCGGAAGTCAGTCTGGCGGAACGGACCATCCCCTCAATCGTCCAATTCGATTCGGTCCGATCTGGGTTGGTCTGGACATTGTCAATTTTCCCTCGGCTGCAGCCTGAGCCGGAGCCGGAGCCTGAGAGCTCACGGGCATTAAATTGAACTGGCTCGATGGCTGAATGCACATCCCTGGCCGCCGTGATGCGGTCAGTTCGACGAGTCTGCTACGGGAGGAGTCAGTACGAGTCCACTACAGTGTGGAATCGTGGCTCTGGGAGTAGACAAGATAGTAGGTTCATGTGCGTGCCGGTTCTCCACAACGCGGGACGTCAGAGCGAAGTTACTTGTGTTGTAAGACGTGACCGATTCGAATAAAATGGATGCTTTTACACCTTACGCTGACGTGAGCTCTTCTTCTGCTCTGGAGGCCACCATTGCCCATCCTCGTGATTTACCATCCACTGGTGATGGCTCGGCGCTCATGCTCCATTCATCAACTTTTCTGTGAAACGAGCCCGTCTTTCGTGTTAGTGTGGCTACCACGGGGACTAGCTAGAGGAAGCCTGGGGTTACGAGGGAGGTGTCAGGAAATTCTCGAATGGCGACTTGGCGATTGCGTGTTTCTATGCGAACGGGAGTAGAACTAGAATGCTTGGCTTTGGATTCAGCTCGTCCATCTCATCTCATCTCATCTCATTCTTGCAATCCTGCAGGTGTGATTTGTTCCTTGTCGGTCGTCGTTGCAGACCGAGGAAGATCATCGTCAGGCTATGGCGAAGTTAGGCTGGTCGGTTTGATAGTTCAAGATCGTAGTCACTAGACCCCAGTTAACTTGTGTATCGATCAAGACTTCGCGGATGTTGCTAACAATGATCAGACACCATATCTTTCTTTCTGAAACTGACTCGGGTTGTCCGTCCTCCCTCTGGGTGCGATTCATTTCTGGTTTTTCTGACGCTTGGAGCGAGATTTGATGTCGTGGCTTGGCTTTCTTTTAATCGGAAAGCGAATTCATCGGAAAGTGTGTGTTTATGATTGTCCTCTGTTGAATAGCTGATCTGATCTTCCTTCCATTGTTATTTCCGTCTTTGCCACTTGGACCACGAGATGTAGAAGTTGGGTAGGAACAAAGAATTGAATGAGTAATCTGTGCGGATGGATGAATGGCTTCACACAATCAGTACGTAGCCTGATCAGTGATAAGATTCGGAGTTCAAGAAGGTGTTGCTTTCCTCCCCGATCAGAGTCACAGATAGTCTGATTGCCTGCTACCTTGGCAGTGGTGCAAGGTGGTGATCGGTGAGTTGTGGCACACGCATATCCATGCACGAAGCTTGAGTGGATCCACTCCGATCAAAGGCGTTTGTTTGTTTATTTCCAGCTCGACAGGGATACCACAGCAGCGCATGCACTGGTCTGGGAATGTCAGTCTTCTTGTCGGAGGTAGAAACCATGGCCACGATATTGCTCTAACTTTCACTCATCGACTCGCTGAATCAGTGCCGAACGTCATACTTGGCAGCCCTCGCATGTTCAATCTGGTCATGTCGAAATTGAGTGGACAGTTGCCCTCCACAGACTATTGTACTCGCCCATGGGCTTCTTCAGTTTCAGCTTCTTGTATCCGATGTCTGTCGGTCAAATTACTCCCAAAGGACACGGCCATCGATTTTGAAGGCTGATGAAACTTGTTCAGGTACACTTCTTGACGCCAGCTGACTGTACCAAGTGTACACGATGGACCATGGTGAGCAGAAGTAGGGGTGGGGACGGGCGCTCGGCCAGTATTGGCAGGGCAATGCAAGGCGAGGCGAGGCAAGGCAGGGCTGGGCGGGGCGGCCGGGGCGGTCATTCACGTCATTAGAAAGAGTGAATGTCGTAATTGTGGTGATTGGCTGGATCCTTGAAAGTTTAGGACTATCTCGGCTCTCTTTCGGTGATCGAGGTTCAGATTTCGATGTGACAGGTCTCCGGTGAGGCCCATGACCAGCGTGGTTCTTTCTTTTCCCCTCTTATAAAATTGTTTTCTCAAGGTCATGGAGGTACGCTGGGAGACAGAGAGAGAAATAACCTGGAATAACAGTCTGCCTACAACCAACTCATGTCGACCTAGCATAGCAGTAGCCAGCAGCAAAAATAACACTGGGAATGAATGAATGAATGACAAGAGCAAGTCTTCGCCTTCTTGTAATATATTTCTGCCTGGACTGATAATATAATACGCGGTGGTTCTCTGCTCCAAGCAAATGCATCACAGGTAGCAGTCATTCTCAAAGAATATGCCACAACTCAAAGATCCACTAAGTTTTGACCAGAAGCGATTTTAGATCTCCTGATGACCAAGGAAAGTCCTCCATTTCTGCTTAGACAACACGAAATATGATGCTCCGTTATGTCTCCAGCGCAGCATAGGTTAGTTCGTTCGAGCTCAAACTGACCGTACCAAACAAGGTTTTCTGTTACAGCCGGTCAGTCTGCACAGTTGCTGACAAAGACAATATTCACGATTGTATGAGCGTCCATGTTGCTTGTTCCGGGTCCTGATTAACAGACAGGCCCCGTAAAGAAATGAAACGATCCGAGAGAAAATCTTTCTTAAACGCAAACGGACTCCCGAGTACGGGGGCCTCGCTTCCCTCGGTGAAAATGATCCCGAGTCCACCGCTTTGACATCGAACCGACGTTGGTCGATGTCTGAAAAACGAGGTTTGTCAAGAAACGCACGAATGTCGATGAGATGGTGAGGTGTTATGACTCATGATCACGTGCTCCACTTCGACCGCGGTGTCTAGGAAACATACAATTACCGGGGCTGTGATAATCAGGATGCTCATGTCAGTATAACCACATTGAAGTTTGCACTTTGAAGTCGAGTCCGAGATGAGAGGGCCGGGAGCATGTGCAGAACAGCGGGCCAATCGGGCATGCACGAGTCCGTTAAGCAGGCAGTTAAGTAGGTCGGGAATAGTTTAGCAGCAGCAGCAGCAGCAGAGCGGGGAGCTCGTGTACAACTAGCAGCGCAGCGGATAGACGAGGGGTTGCAAAGTTGCAAGGCTGAGCCTTCAAGGCAGGACGCATAACCGGACAAAGCTCGAGCATATACACAGACTCGGCTCACTTGACAACTACAGCGACTGCTTTTCCTACAGCTGGTGTATGTTTTGTTAGCGATGTCCGGGCCTACTTAAAAAGGTGGCATTTAATGCGAGTGCATCTTTTCTCTGTTGAGTGGCTTGAAAGCAAGTGGCGGCATCGAAGCAAGTGTCTGCTGTCTACTTTGTATCATGACTTCGATCGACTTTCTCTCAGCGAGACGGTTTGTACCTATGCATGTATACAGATCATCAGATCCGCAACAAATATCGCCACCGTAGATCGCCAACGTTCCGCTTGTCGGTGTCACATCGATGCACTCCATATTCTAATGCGCGAATCGAGAGTGACGAGGAGCGGAATTAATTTCCCAGCTTTCCTTTACTTTTCACCCCGCCTGCATAACCACCATGAGGAATTGGAAGGACTTCTCCAGTGATCGAGAGAGCGAGGGAGTGACCCCCATCTCTGCTGCTGCGGGCCAGTGGATGAGTCCCGAAATGTTCGGTCGCATAAAGAGGGATGGGAGTCGGACGGGGCAGCCCCGAATGGTTTCGAGCTCTGCCCACCCGATTCTGGACATGACGGTCAAAAGACCTGATCGGAACATACATACGTACGCTCGACAGTATAAGTTGCGAGGGCCGGGAGGTGTTATCCGCAGGCGAGTCCGAATCCCATCTACTGATTCTGATCTGGTCCGAGGACACAGCCACAGAGTAATCATGCTCGTACCCTCTGGAGAATGGCGGTATGAATTAATGTACTCCTCGTGCATGCTCACTCGCATACCGGTACGGGTCCGGAGGAAATGCCGCTGGTAATACGATGTGTACATACCTCCATCGCCGAGAATATCTACACGCGTTCCCATGTACCCCGAGCGTATGGCGAAGAGACTTTACATTAAAGCACGGATTCTGAGGCGATGGAGAAATTATTAGAGAAGTGCGACTACGACTCGGGCGAGTGAACGAACGGATGCGTAGAAGCCATTATTCCCGTCCAGATGTTACGGCTGTTTTCAGTCCTCTCGGTCAAAGAGCTCGATGTGATTCGCGCATCCCCATGGATTGTTCGCTCGCCTACAAGCGGAAGGCTGAGTTCTATGTCGTCGGAGGAGCTCTCGACGCCGCCGTAGGGCAGAGAAGAGTGGCAGCACCGACTGCCTGATGGTGATGGTGAGGATGGCGCAGCGAGCAGCGACGGGACGTTTTGCTCGTCCGGGGCTGGCTGGCTGGCTGACCGACCGACTACGAGCGCAAACTTCTTATCGGCTCGCCTCAGAATTCTGGCACAGTGGCCGGCTGTAGCTTGTGATACGCTTTGTCTGAGGAGGCGTCTGAACAGAAGAAAGTAGTTGCTTCTCGGGCTCCGTGGAGGAAAATGTGGCGTCTGTAGCAGTCGCCTCGGACCTAGATTGTCTGCGGGATTACTGTGAGTCTAGAAGGGTTGGTCGACTGCGCTGGAAGAAAGGTTCGACCTCAACTTTATTGTTTAATGGGCTGCCGATGATCCTCCGATGGCGTCACCTCGTCTGGACAGCCATGGTTATAATCAGGAGTCCGCAGAATTCTTCGGCCATTTGCCGAGATAGCCGTGGAGCCAACACTTCGACGGGTCAAATCCTGAGATCGAATGCGCTGCGAGCGACGGGGTTTCCTCACCGTGTCGTCGTGCGGACACAGTGCTGGCCGACGACTGACCGGCCTCATGAACAAACGATTCTGCGAATTCGAGGGAGGGGAGGAAGGGAGGGAGACGGAGGAGAGGAGGAGAGGAGGTTCCGGAGGACGAGAACTGATGCAGCAGCGGGATTGCGAAATTGAATGGAGGCACATGGAAGCGATCGCAGGGAGCAAGATTCGAAGACTCGCAGAGAAACGGGCCCGAAAGGACAAGGGTCAATCCAGAAATTCGGGAATGCTCGAACCGGGAAGAGATTGGGGCGAAGATATCGGGGAGGGTCAGGACAGAGCTCATAAAGAGCGCCAAGAGCGCTGCGAGCGAGCGACTGTGCGGCCGGTCAGAATGACGAGCCATCGCCAGAGCAGTTAATGCTAAAAAAAGAGAGAGAGAGCAATTCATGGCTCCGAGGCCGAGCTCTTAGCAAGTCCCCAGAATAATTCACCGATATTTGAAACTTTCCGCCGTTTCCTCTTGTCTGGATCTGATCTGTGCACGCCTTTTCGCTTTGGACAAGACTCAGCGGGAGAGCGAGGCCGAGCATTCGACAAAAGCGCCCACTGCTCGCCTCGCTTCCAACTCGAGCTCCGCGCGAATGGCAGCCCTCCACCTCCCGCTGTCCGCTACTCCCGCTAAATTTGGGCACTGCTAGGCGCTCCAGACTTTCGGCTCGACCGACCTCTAGGCCCTTGTCGTCACCCTCGTCAAAGCCCCCTCCCACTTCGCAAATCGTCCTGCTCGATCGGATGACGGGGTTCGTCATTTTCGGTCGACTCAACCCGCTCGCCCTTCTCGTCTCTTCCCCACTGCCGGTGCTCCGTGCCACCGTGGACAGTGGGCCCCACCAGCCTGCCTCCCTCGCTACTGCTAGGGGCCTGTTGTCATCGGACCCCCTCCTTCGCCCAGAAGGAGCCGAGGGGAGCCTGAAGAGCGGAAGAAGCAGCGGCAGCGTCGTCGTCGTCGTCGTGTGTGGCTTCTGTGAGAAGCTTATCTATCCTACATTCTCTATAAATACAAAAAGTATCCATATTTCCCAATTTGCCCCGACTCTGAGCGAGCAATCCCATTGATCTTCCCTATCTCCTTCTCTAGGCAGGAAGTCAAGTCGGTCTATTCGGCTATCATCCTTCCTTGGCCATGAAGAAGCGGCTGATCGGTGCTCTTTCGCCTCCCTCGCACACAAGAGAGGCAGGATCATCATCAGGGTTCGCTTTTCCTGGAGCCCATCGAACATGTCCTGTTGACCTACAGCGACTCGGGGTGGGGAGTACTCGGGGCCTTGGGTTGGGTTGGGTTGGGTTCGGGCTGGGTCTAGGCAGAGGCAAATGACTCGCACAGTCGTCACTGCTGTGCCATAGATGCATTCAGAGAGTAAAGAATTACATGCAAATTAAAAGTGCTGTCGCTTTAGAGCGGAAGAAGCGGCGGGCCGGACGCCGAGCACCGTGCGCCGGGCGCCGGCCATTCCACCGAGTTTCGCGGTTGTTTCTTAAAAAGAAGTTCCCAGGGCGTGCACCGAACTATGCCCTAGGCTGAGCTCGAGAGCTCGAGAGCTCGCGAGCTCGATCGCTCCAAAGCAGAATCTTTCGACATGTCTCCTCTCCTTGGTGGCAGGGGCCCCGCCGCGAGTGGGAGAAATGCTCAGAAAAGATCACCACATCACCAATGATTCACCGGGACTATCCCTCGGCCGCCCGCCTGTCCCGCCCCCGGCTTCTCATCTAGCTTTCCTTCGATGTGCTAACTTCTGGCGCAACCAATCTACGTCCGTGTCTATGTCTTTCGATCCATCTATTAGCGACCCCCTACTCGGACCCCACTCTACGCCTCGTTGACGACGACTTGACGACGACTTGAGAGTTCTGAAGGTCGTTTGGGTACCACTTCTGGACCTCCTTCAATTCCATTCGTTCGTGAAGCTCGGAACAGTTCTCTGGGACGACTGAACTCACAATCCGCGTCGGACACGAAGGTGGACGCAGTATCGTTCCGGTCACCGCCTCCTTGCCATTAGACAGAACAGCAAGTGCGCAGCACACGGTTCCGCAGCTGCCTGTCCTGGAAGATTTGTTCAGAATGAGTCCAGACGATTCTCACTATGCACACTTTGTCACGACGACCTTGAATGCGGCAGCTCCCGCATTCAGAATCGGTCGCTCAGTGAGTCAGATCGACGACTCGAGAGTCGTCGATTTTTCCTGCTGACATTGTGCGCTGTCACTCCACTACCAGCTCTGGAATTGGAATAGATGGACTCTCATCTCCAATCTAGTGCGATCATCGACGTTTCCGCAGTATGTCCGCTGGCTCGGAGGGGCCAATCGACCGAACAGGTGAATCCTTCATCCCTTGCCGGCTGATCGACGGATCTATCCATCAATCTAGCCATGGAGTTGCTACATCTGTCGTGCTTACCTGCTAAGTCTTGCACTTCATCAAAATGCTCGCTATAACTACCATGTTCTTCAGCCCCACCATTCGCAGTCTCCGCCGTGACGACATGCGGACATGCCTCTGCTCTACACATTCACGTGAATCACTAATTTATCCCCCCGAAACTTCTCTTGTGCACGATCTGTAGCTTTGTTCCTCAGTCTATCACTTTTGGTGACCACCGGTACGCGACCCGACACGACCTGACCTGGCATTCGCATGACCTCGGTCTTTGGCAGTTGAGTTCCTTAGCACTCCCACTCTCCTGTGAATGGCAGTGCAACTAGAGAGAAAGAGAGAGATGGTGAGTTTGTGTTTGTGTGTGTTGACCTCTGTACAGTACTGGTGAGTGGCACCTGTTGGTCGTTTCAGAAGCTGTAGGTAGTACTATTGTTGCATCCATGGTAACCTGACCCGGTCTTGTTCCAGGTGTGCTCCTGGGATTGGAATTGAACTCGGTTGGCGTCGTAGTGACTAGATCGCCTGGTGCGAACTTGCCTTACCAGTCAAGGTGGGATAACTGTTTGTGGAATTAATTTCTTTCGCTGTTTTGAATTATAAAAGTCATGGCCAAGAGACAAAAGGCAGGTTAGGTTTGCCCTCTCGCTTGGTTTCCGGAGGCAGCGAGCAGTAGCAGTAGCAGCCATGGGAGGGGAGGGGAGGAGAATATTTATGTTCTGAAGAGTTTGTATGAAAGGACTGCAGAACCCCAAATATCCAAATGGCACATTGCCACCACCTCTTCCACGTGCAAAGCACAGATATAAAAGATTCATTGAGTGCTGGGAGGCACTTCTATTCGCATTACGTGCTTCTGTACTTCACCGTGCCCTCACTTCCATCCGCTCTTGTCTGCTCTGCCCTCCTCTGCTCTGCCCGTCTCCTCTCCCCTCCCCTCTCCTCTCCTCTGTCCTGCCCTGCCCCAGGGTCTAGTCTGAAGAAAGCCTGAAGGGAGGGGAGGGGGAAGGGAAGGAAAGGAAAGAGAAGCTCGGCTCTCGACTCTCGGGAGAAAGGCGAAGACGAGCGACCGACGACAAGTGCTTCCTCGATTCTTGCGATGGTGAGTTGCTGCAGATCCAGCAGACTGACTGGCTGACTGATGCACTGACTGACTGCGTGCACCTCGCATTCAAAATCTTTTGCTGTCTCGGGATCCGTAAAAGAAAGGAGCTGCAAACCCGATGAGTGTTCTTCTCAACGCCTCCTCCTTCTGTGTCCCTCTCCCCTCTCCCGTCCCTCCCTCAGCAAGACCCACCACTCCCTCCTCGCCGTCGCCGGTTACCGCTACCTGAGCTGAGAGGAGCTGATCTTTAACTAAACTAGTATTCTACTGCCTTACAGCTCCAGAATTCAGTGACGCGAGATACATACAGCACAGCCCGTCCGTCCCTCGGCGCTGTAGCAAGAGGTACTGCAGTACTGGCTTTTTTCTGCTTGTTTCCTCTCCGATTTTCCACATCTGCTGCTCAACTACCGTCAACAACTGGTACATGTCATCATCGTCGAAAGTACGATTGGCTAAGTCGAGGAGAGAAAGAGAGAGAAAGTCTTTGGCCAAATTATTTCTAAATCAATCAGTTAGTCACTGTCACTCTCTCTTCCATCAGCTTAGGACTACTTTGAGCGCAACTCAGCACGTTGACAACGGAGGTGCTCTTCACATGATTCCACTAAACACGCACTGCACGGTTGTGATACACGCATCACCTGCATTAAATTTGTGATGTCCGCTTTAGGGACTTATGGGACAGTGACACTGGAAGAATTTGAACTTTGTCTGAGGACGGTTAGCACCCACGCGACCGGGCTCGGAATCAATAAATGACGAGGTCCGAGAAAATCTAGCACAGTTTGCTCCATCATCATGCTTCTCCAGCACGACAGACATCCATGGATCAAGCGCTGATGAGGTCCAGCTTTGCAGCATCATCAGCTGCTGTGTTCCCGCTGCCGCAGGTCCACTCAAAGCTACGAGCTCGTTCGGTTGGGACTCATAGGGTTAGTGTCAAATTCGCTTGGAAGCAGAAAGCGACTGTCCTTTTCAAACGAAATGATTGAATGAGTAACTGTACAGATGAGAGCATGGAAGAACAACTACTTTTCAACATTTCTCGCAATTTCCAGGTCAATAGACCTTAACCGAGTGGACTGATTCAGTCGAGAAGTAGGTTAACGAGTCGATCCGGGATCAATCATCAGAGTTGCTAGAAGTAGACTGGTGACCAGGTGCCATTGTCTTCCTGTTTCCCGATTCGGGTTTATTCGCACGCTTCACAGATCTGTCTCAAACAAAGTCTACAGTGATCGCAGCCCACCTGGGAAAACTTTTCACTAACGCTCACGTTTTAGTTTGGAGATTGTTAGATTGCTCACCGACCACGTTATGGCAGGTTTCACAGAAATTTATTACAAATCTCCAGTTTGTATGCTTTTGGACGACACGTACATGCGGAACAACAATCACTACTCACAAAGTCTCAGCCTCAGTCACTCGCTTCAAGTGTTCAGAGTTGTGGGAGGACGAGGAATATCTGTCTTTTATCTTCACATGCAGCTTCAAAGTTCTATGTCTTCACGTGCAGCGGGCAGATTTAGCGAGCATTCTCGAAATTTGGTTATGGTCCTATACGGCGTCCGGCTCCAAGGAAACTGACATCTCTCTCAGCAATACCACGGCGCCAAAGATCAACTTTCTCTCACAGCTTTGCTACTTGGAATAAGTGTTGAATAGTCATTACCTCCCACTCAGCTTTCTACTTGATTCCATCTACTCACATCGGAATTGAGCAGGAGGGTAAAATGAGGATCAAATGAGAACATGGAATCTATTGGAGGGCTTATCGCATTATTCGACAAATGCACGCACCGTAACATTGAGGTTTTTCATTCACGAGCCCGACGATGATACTGAGTTCTGACCTTCAAGGAGCGAAAGTCATTTTCCAGACTGACTTCGATGCCTCCCTAACTTCCTCCATCCAAGTCAATATATTACTGTCGATCATGACAATAGCACCGGCATCTCTCACTAGCCGAAGGCAGGAAAAAAGTTTCTTCCCCATAGTGGAGACAGTTACTGTAATGTGCGAGTGAAGAACATCTGAGCGAGTGCCCTTCATCAGCTAAGTACTTGCCGCACTCACCAGCCTATGATCGTGTGGGATGCATCTTTGTCGTATGGCCAGAGTTCTCCCATCACGAAGCCAAACAAGCCGATCAGCCGACCTACCGGATTTGTGGACGGTGCGAAGTTAGTTGACACCGCTCTGCATATTTTCATGCTTCAACAGTGGCCTTCTATTAAGGTGTGCCTTGTAGCTGGATTGTGGACAAATTGAAGATCCTTCGTATGTCAACGATAGTCCCATCATATTTATGTGCCATACAGCGGAGATCTGGTACATCCCCATCAAGTCGTCGTTACATGACTCAACAGTGGCTTATATGGGCGAGCATATTTGTGAACAGCTAGCCTGAGCCGACTTTTGCAAGTATGGTGGAAAAGCAGCACGCTGACTATAATAGTTTTCTCTTGACACGAGAAATCTCAACCTTGGAAGCTTTACTGGGACGGGACACAGTGGGCCAGATTTATTAGATTAGAGGTAAAGTGAACGCCTCACGACGAGCAGAGGGGTTTAGAGTCACCTGATCTGGATCAAAAGGGATACCAAGTAATTTAGCAAAAAGGATGGGAAGACCCCATCAAGTCGTACATGGATGATGAATCCAAGGTCTAGAAAGTTTTTGATATTCTGTTCTGGTATCGATAAGAGAAGTTGGCTGTCACCGGCGAATATACATGCTGGCTTGGAACACAGCATTTATTGCCATTAAAGACCTGACGAGATTACAGCCAAGTGATATATTGATGCCAAGCAAGACTCATGTGAGGTTGTGAACTCCTAAAAGTACCCACCCCATGCCTGGGCTCAAAAAATGTCATTTTGATTTATTATATTTGAAAGACTCAGATATCTCAAGTACTCATTTATATGACTTTTCTTCGGAAATATTTTCTTTAATCTTCTTTGAATTGTTTTTTAAATATCACAAAATCTTGGATAGCTCACCGACCCAGTAACACTTTCTCTACCGTAACTCGAAATCCCCCTCACTTGTGCAGAATCCCCGTGTCAAAGTTCTCAGTCTATATATGAATCTCATCTGAACATCTGGAAGTACTGTACAACGTAGAGGTAACGGAATTCGTTAAATTTGTTGGTGGTCCACGGGAAAGAGGAACTTATTGTCTTCGTAAAAGAGCCGCATGTGGACAAAGGAATCACACATCAATTCTTTTAGTTAAGAAGGGAGAGGTAGAAATATGTTATGGAATCGGTCTCACCCAAAACATTTGTCACAATGCATGCAATCGAAGATGAAGCAACCCACTGGACACTAGCGATGAGATTACGTGACATAAACTTGTATATCCCGATTGGCGATGAATCCAACTCGGTGTCACATATTTCGTTGGCGCTGACCTCTCCTGTCAGGTACAAGAAGTAAATTACATGCAGCAGAAAAGGTGATATAAATGCCATCATTCTAATTCAGTCATATTAAATGATAAATCCTCCCTTGGGTACAGATCGAGCCTTTTAGGACCATAATGTATCTCTCCTTCGATATTACAAGTCCTTGTTGGATCGATTCCGTTGCCTTTATCATCAAAAACATCACGTTCCTGGCAATGAGTCACACATCGTTCAAAAACTCCACGAACATGGCAATGAATATGATCCCGGAAACACCTAAAGGAAATTTCTTGTATGGGAAAAGGCAGCTGTTGCATGGAAGTTTTGAAGCAGCTCAGAGAGCCCTCCCTACGAGTATGTTGTAGCAGAATTTGCTCCTCTGCATCCCAATTGCTCTGGACTTGCGATGATAATCAGGTAGATGCAGGGAGCCTCTACCTGACTACCGTAAAAAACTTGAAGACTATCCACACCACAATGCCACGAGTCAACCGTAAGTCAGTTTGTCTTTAGTTTTTGTTCACCGGGTTAAAGCGCAACCTTATCTTGAACTAAGTATAGCAAGCGTGTACGATTCGTAAATCGATGAGCGATTACTTCAAAGATCGTTAAATGGAGGCTCTGCCACCAATGACTGTGCGTGTAGTGACGGATGAACCTGGAGTACGTACTTTACAGAAGTCAGCATCTTGACTTTTACAAGAAGATGATCCACAATGGCCTGCTTTCTCCAATTTCAAAATTGACAGTAGGTGACGAGTGAGTTGTGATTCACGTATATAATATTACAGATTTTTTTTCCCACATTTTATTTCAAAGTAAAAGTTCCACCGAAGATCTGCCAACTGCTACATATACCAACATCTTTTGCATACCGCTTCTAGATTGACTGCCTCATCCACTCAACGGACGAAGAACGAACACCGCCACAGTGGAACTGCTTGTTCAGCTCCAAGTTGCTTTTGTTATCCCTAACATTCGGTTTGATTTATCAGGGTGCGACAAGTCAATATCAGTGAGGCACTTGACTCACGACAACTGGATCAGGTTATACAGGTCGAAAGTCGAATCGAAGAAGCAACCATATCAGAGAGCACTACCGGTTAGGAGAGACAGGGGAACAAGTAAGAGAGCACGGTGAGAGACGATTAAATTAGTGGCTTTGTCAGGGCGGTCTATCCAACACCAGCACCTGATAGCCCAAACTATCTTAGGAACTAAACGTGAGGTCAGTTGACTTTGCAGCTCGATTTATAACATCTGGTCAGCAAAGAAGGACTATCCGATTCACTTGGAAAAAAAGTGAGACAGCTAACCTACTGCTACAAGGGAGAGTATTTTCTTCTTCCTGCTGGAGAAATAATATCAGAGGGATGAAAGTGTAGGAAAATCTCTACCCAGAATGAGCCTTTGTGACCACGCTTGCATCAAGTGGATGCAAGCGTCATTCTGCGTGTAGCTTCTTGAGGAAGACTGTTACTACCGTAGTATCGCTATACACTCACTCTCTCACTCTGTGGAATAGAATAATTCTCTGTACACATTATAGCTATGAAGGCAGTCAGGCAGGCACTCACGTACCCACGTGTAATTTGGTGTGAATGGAAGTTTTTCAAGGCCTTCTGCGACACGTACACTGAGAACTAGCTTCTGGAGGTCTAATGGTTTAGGTAAGTGAACTGTACGACTGATGGAAGGAAGTCTCGCTGCATGTCCTAGATTTTTTCTTGGTAGCTAGGGAGGGCTTGTCTACCAAGAATTCATGTTAATCAACAGTCCTACTACCATTCACCTCAATAGAGTGGCCGCACTATGAAGGAAAGGAACTGAGAATTCAACAATATGAAATGAAGTGCTTGAAGCGCGTCTAAGGAAAGAGGATTGAATCTAAGAAAGAGATAGAGTCGCCCGATCGCGAGGCAGTTCATGAGGAGGTACGGTACAGCCGCATGAAGAGAGGTCATAAAGATCGCTTTTTAGTCTTTCGCCCATTTCAAATGTTATATTGAAGCCCGAGCTCAAATTCATCGCAACAGATTCAGATTCCTCACGCCGCCTGGGCCACAGTTTTACTCCTCTCATGAAGCAGCTTTTGCTGTTACAGAAATATCTCATTCTCACGTGTTAAAGCTTCCAGTTATCAACGAGCGAGAGATTATTCAGGTATATAGATAGTCTTCGATACAGTGCCCCCGAGAGATAATTTGAATTGTTATAACCTAAGGTCGATGCCGCTACACAATATCAGCGGCTGCTTCTCTTCTCAATAGCTGACTAAAGACTACAGTTCCACTTGGACCAAGTCAACCAAACGCATGTGCATGCCGTCACAATTTCTAAGGTTGAGCGCTTTCATCCGTGGGTATTACTTACGTTGTTACATCTGGGCTGCTGGGCTGCTGCTGCTCTAATATCTTAATCAGATAAAAATCTAAAAGTTGAAAAGATGGATCTTCTCCCATGGTACTTAACCAAATATCATCATGATGTCAGGCGCTCAGACCTCAATGACAGATTGTTGTTCTTCCTCCTAACCTGGTTTGACTTTGATGGACGCAGACGCACTTAGTGCGATTTCCTGCAGCCCCGAAAGTCCAACTTGGGGACCACGATGCCAACGATATGTAGATCAGGAATCCGGACCTAGAAACAGCTCGCTTCCCGATCGTAATGTATATGGAGACAGATTACTCCCCGGTCTCCTGATTTCTTACAATAGAAGCAAGTAATACTCACACGATCCAGATATTGGACCCGCCGGTCTCGACCTAGCCGAGTTCCAGTTCGATTGTTCTATACTCATAAGAATCATTAGCTGATCCGCCGACCCTGCCAGATGTAGTACTGTCGTTTTCCTTCCCCAACAGAGCTAGAGAAGGACACCCTTCCCAGCTCAGCTATAATTGATTCACGTACTACTGTCTAGATTTTTCTCAATGTAGGAACGCCCGATGGCCGACTGATGATGATGGTGGTGATAGATTCGGAAGGACAACAAAAGCAGCATCATCGGTTGCTATCAGTGACTGAAAGAATTGGTTCTGAATGGAGATGCGTCGGTTGAATCCTCCAGACCCACCAATTTTTTCTCTGTCGTCAGTCAGTTTTACAAGGTTTTGTCGGGGGCATGTATATCGTCCCTCTATCGCTCTTTGCAGGGAGCATATTAGTTCAATGCTAAAGGCGTAGGCAAAATTCTAACATCACGGTTAGTTAGCCTTACTGTCAAATTGTGCACTGAGTTCAATGAACATATCTGTACTTTACCTTCAGGTAGTCAGAATGTCTTCCCTGAATCTGAGATTGGTCCCATTGGCTAGGTTTCTGATCCGATGAGAAGAATGATCTGAGCATCGGAGCATTTATGATGGCTTTGGACTGTGCACACTTGCAGTACAGCTACCTTATCAGGCTTATCTGCTTTGGCACCATCACACTTTGAGTATGAGATGAATAAATATTCCGGTACGATTCAACCTGGAGGCCTACAAATTTCCTACACCAAGTCCACCTGATACATGCATCCCTTCAGGCCGAGCGCTAGGCTATATCTATATATTCTTAATGATCCCTTCATTTCACAATCACTCCTCTTGAGATGACGAAGAAGTTATTTACAAATCTGCGACATAAAGGCATGAGAGCAATTCTTTGAAAGTTGACCTGTGGAGAACGATGGCCAGTAAGTCAAGAAGAAAACAGAAGGACGCGAGTAACTCCTGATCAGGTTGTCCTTGGATAGCATATGCCCTAAGTTTATGCTACACTCCAAACCAGCGGTGAGTGAAAGGGTGGGGGAATCAGTCACGGACCTACATGATAAATTTGTCAGATCGAAATTGATGGAGAGTGAGATGGTAGGCTTGGAAGTACCTGGATCCATCGGGGACTGATGTTCGAGTGCATAACTTAAAAACTGATAGGCAATTTCACACGTAGTTACTCGTGTGAGTTGATTATACCGAATGCATTTTAGACAGAGTAAGGTGATATCAAATTGAACATCTATGAGTATTCCCTTAGTAATCCATATACAGTACGCTGATACATGAAAAGCTTCTGGCATTTGATCCTTGATCCTATGAGTTGTTTGTTTCTCTCTGTAGGCCACAGATGACTGGGATAAGTGCTAGCTTCAGACAATGGTGAGCTCCATTAGCGCGTATCGTGATATATCATGAGCTAGATGAACAGTCGGAGTAGCTAATACATCGGGCGTGGGAGTCACTGCGAACTCGGAGGCAAACCTACGATCTGTAACTTGCTGTACAGGCTCATTAGATTCTTTCTCACTCACTATCTGTTGCCGATTGAGTATAAGCATATTCTTTTCTAGAAAGAGGATTCGAATTCCTCACAACTTGAGGGTCATGACCTGGTCCAAGATTCTACTGCAATGAACAGAAATTGGCTACAGAAGAAAAAAGGGGATGTGGTGCGCTCAATATATAAAGAAAGGAATCCACAGTAAGAAAATTCTTTGATGG